GATCTTCAGGGCACACATAGAGCAAGTACATATTTGCTATTTGAGGCAAGTTTAGCTGAACCATAGTCTGCAGGACCATTAAATAGGGTACATTACTATGCGATGCAATTTAAGAAATCAAATTTGAGAAAGAACAAAAAAGGGGTAAGGGGCCAAGAAGGATGAAGGGTAATCATACAATTCAGGGTAAAGAAAGATGATAGATGATGTTTCTGTGTAAGACTGAGGGGCTCTATAGTTAGGCTCCAGTCTGAGAAGCAGGTTATTGCTTTAAATAAGGAAGTAATAAAATCACCAAATACAAATTAGATGATTACGGCGATTCATATTGGCAACACTGCCTCCCTGCTTAGGACACTTTTATCCAGACATTGTTGTAGTGCACCAGCCCGCCATCACTCTTTTGCTGGCAGTTGAATGATGTGGGAATCCATTTGACTTACCTGATAATAATATATAGAAAGCCTATGTATAAAAGTATTAATGCCTCACAGTCACCAGATTCAAACCTTCATTCAAAGATGTGTATTTATTGGCACCTTGGACTTTACAGTATGGTGGCACATTGCACTTTAGACTAATATTTCTCACCTAAAGCCCTGATGAAGCACATTGACTATGATTGCAAGCTATGTAGCATAGTGTATGGTTAGTATTTTATTGCCACCAATTGCCATTTAAGCCACCTGAGGCGTGAAGGGGGGAGGTATGTGCTGGTGGTGCACACTAACTGGGGAGGGTGGTTAGGAGGGTGGTTATGGAGCACATTTCCAGCCAGAGCAACTTGCCCAGCTCCTGGCAACCAGTGACGTTACTGGTTGCCAGGAGCTGAGCAGGACCATTAACATCACTGGTTGCCAGGAGCTGAGCTGGACGCTGGTCAGAATGCCCATGGCTGCTATGAGCTGGATGGGAAAAATGTGTATGGCCCTTACACGTCTCTCGACCCAGCTCTTAGCAACCTGGGACGCTCCTGCCAGAAAGGGGGGCAGCAGACACACTGCAAACATTGTAGAGCAGATGCTGCTCTGCCTGCCCCCACCCCCCATGACCCAAAGAAATGCCGCTGAGGCAAAAGCCTCAGGCTGCCTCATTTTAGGGATGGCCCTGAGTGTGTGTGCCCTGTTAATTTACCAAATTCTCTGTATTTGTTTAGGGATGCATGTATGACAGATTGGAAAACTCTACAATTCCTGCCATGCTGGTCATGTGGCATTTCAATCATTCTGTCTCCTGCAGGTCCAGACTACGCCAGAGATTACAGACCAAAGCGCCCCGATTGTCCCCGATACATAGGAGAACATATGCCATCCGTTGAAAGCACTAGTGAAGTGGATTACTTATGGCGTGCTGCACCAGGCGCACCTGCACCGCTGCCTAAAGAATGTTATGTAGGCGGAATAGGCTGGGGAGTGCCTGAATTTACCTTCCACAACATAAATCAGCTTGGTAGTAGCTACCAGATAAAGGTAATGTGTGTTTTATGCACTTCATGTGAATATTTGTGATTTTATACTCCAATTTAAATTTGCAGTGGCAACCAGCAAAAAGGTATGTTACTAAGTAAGGTGACTGATGAAAAACATCATAACAAGAACTTGTTAACTGAACGGAGCATACCTGTAGTTCTGTCTCTCTCTAATTGAAACTCCCATACAGGGCTATATGTGCTGAAGAAGGTGTAAGTGTGTGTGT